CAAACTTCATTTTGTTCACAGTGTTCAAGTAAAGCTTATTTTCATAGGTATTGTGTTTTTCTGACACATGAAAGCTTTTCATCCTTGAGAACTTCAAAATTGTACCTATATTCATTTAATTTTTATTGTAGTCTTGGTACCATGTAGTTATAGAATATGTTGTTATGTCATAGTCATTGTAAAATGCATGTGTACCAAAATGAATAGATAAACACTTGCACTCTTACTATGCTTAACTTGATTGCTTTACTTCATGCAGCAAACCGTCGATTAATGTTGCCAAGTGGTACATTTCTGTGTGTATAACTCTAACTTGAGACTGCACTGTCAGGCTGATTGTCTCACACCCTTCTAATGCACGCACACACACACACACACACACACACACACACACACACACACACACACAAAAAAAAAAAAAAAATCACAAAACTGAACTGACCAAGTCTGGACAATAATGACCCAAACTGTCCAGGGACATATTCAGCATTGCTGAGACCTTTTATTATTCAAGGTATTTTTTTTGTGAACATTCAGTTTCTACCTTGGCTCTTTCCACCAAACACAGCTTAAGGCAGCTCAGTCTCTCTCAGTTGCCAAGTCTCAGGGGTCTAATTACTTTATATAATTAAATAAGAAGCTTTAATGTCCCATGTCACATGTTAATCACATGTCAGACCAGCCAAGCACTTACTTTAGTACATGAATCTCTAATTCTGTATGTTTATTTGATTTGGTAATGTTTGGTGCATGGTGTAACTGTGCACAAACTGAACACATTTATACCGACTTCCTTATAATAATCACAGACTGTTTTAATACAGTACTAGTGCTAGCTCACTACAATAAACATTCTCTTTTAAATGGACACAAAAAGACAATGGAATGATTCCTTTGTATTCAGAAATGACTTTTGATTAATCAATGAATGAAATACGGGCTAGGTATGATAATGCATTATTAAATGGAACTGTAGTTGTATTTGAATTGATGAGCTTGTCAGTAGGGGAGTATGCTTTTCTATTCTATTGTCATCACTGATCTTAGTTGTTTTATTAAGATAAATAATCTCATTAACAAAAAACTTACATGAAATACTTATGCATGGGGCCTGAAGATGTCATCTCAGGTACTTTACCCCATCCCACTTGATGAATTACCCCATCCCGACTCCCCTCCCCCTCTTCCATAAACATACCACAGTTTATGGCCATGACATGGGCAAGATCTGTTATATTCCTTCAATAAGCTTGGGACCCTCTACCCTGGTATATGACATATTAGTGATTCTTACACAACATTAGGGTAAGTATAAAAGCACTGATTTATTTGTGTGGAAATGTCATTGCTTCATAAAAGTGTGGTATAGGTGAGAAGAATTTAAATCATACCCTATCCCACCATCACCTGTATCATTAGTATAAAATGAATACGTCATTTGTGCCTCTTTGTCATCAATTGTGTCACCTGCGTCAATTTGTCATCCCTCTTTCATCACACCTGTCCTCTGGTAATTACAGGCAATCATATGACACACCTGATGCTTTAAATCAAATATTGGTGCTATTTAAAATTTCATTATTTATTGAAAGATGTGGTAAAATCTCTGATGTCATAGATCAGAAAAAGACTGGTAGGAATGATTACAGCTGGAATATTTTGCCTTTCCAAGAACATATTTCCTTTCAATATTAGCTTATTTAAGAGTATTTTGTAGAGTGTTATATAGTGATGTGGGCATATGAAAATATTTTGAAGTTGATTAAATGTATCTGACCTTTTCTGTCAATGCAATGTATGTATCCAAGGTGGAGTTCCTTAATGTCATATTTTTATAAATAATTAATTTGACCATGTAGTTTTGCATAGTGCAACTTGGTGAGAGCATTATATATTAAGAGTCAGGTGCTGGTGTGTGGAAATCTCTGTTAGAATATTAACCAGTGATATCAAAGAAACATTATTGATTTCCTATGCAAGTATTTTTCCTCTTTTTATGTTATGAAGTATTGAATAAGAAATTTGTCACCAAATGTCTTAATTTCTGTTTTGTCAAGGTACCACATTGAAAAATCTTTTTTTTTTAACATAATGCATATTATCTGATTACAAGACTTTGAAAAAGATATTTTACACACAAGTTGAGGATGATTTTTGTTAAAGTACAATGTTATTATCAATTTGCAATTTACTAAAATCAATAACAATGACAATTTGAAAATTATGAAATAACCTCATATCAATACACATCTGGGAAGAGGACCTCGGAAATCATCCCACGTGGACAAATTTTTAAGGCAACCCATGTTAAGCAATCATAATATGGAGCAATATGTTCATTATTATGACTTAATGTGTAGTTTGCTCACCTGTGAATGGGGGAGTCGTCAAAGTGACATAGGTACTAGTTGCCTAAGGTGACGGATGTAACGGATGTGCATTGAATGTTCTCCTAAATTTATATCCCAGAATCATTTGCCTTATGAGTCTACCATTTGCTGTATTTCAGGCATCATAATGGTAAGGGAATATTTGTGCACTAATTCATTTGTCAGGTTAAAGATCGTGGTTCTCCATGCTCCACTGCTGTGGCCATGGATTAAGAAGTAAAGACTCTGAGTTGAAATGAGGAATCTCACAAAATTGTATTTTAGGAGTTGTATGCAGTTTGTTTCACCAGTGTGTAGTCTTTGTTCTCTTGATTTGTGATGCACTTTTGTATGGTATTTCATTTCACTTTTTTTAAAGTGAAGTTATGTAGCTATCTTTGGACCACCCAACATTTATTTCTTGTCCTCTGTAAGCTGGGAACCATGGACAATTTAACCCTTGACTTTTCTGAGTTCTTTTTATAATACCGTTTTTAGTTTATAAAAAGCATTGGTTTATGATACAGAGGGGGAGGGGCATATGTGTATAAGTGGGAAGAGAAGTGCTCTATAATAGGTATCAGTTACAACACCAAACATGTATTAAAATGTCTTTTAGGAAAAAAAAGAAGGAACGTCATTGATACATTTCTATTTTTATGGATAAAGTGTTGGCATATCTTTGCACTGGGAAGGGAATAGCTGGTTCATTTATGAGACCCAAAATGAGTGAAGCACCCTTCTCTACACTCCAGGCTCCAGCTGTAAATATAGGTAGTAGATCATATCATCAGGATAACAAATTACTAGATGGTTTGCTTGCCACGTTCTCTGGCAGATGTTTTAAAGGAATATAGTGTGGCATTGTCCTGGATGTAAATTGTTCATTGTAATAATTAATGCCTTTGCAAGATGTAATTAGCAGTCTTTTTTTAAATTATGCAATATCATTGTCTCAAGATTAACTAAAATAATATTATTTAAGTTCCTGCAGACTAAGGGTTTCATTAAAATGTTTTCGTGGTATATAGTATAAAATAGATGGATAAATGGATGGGGTTGGGTGGGATGGGACAGACATTTCATAACCACAGTGGTTTATTTTTCATATATTATGTTGTTTTCAAAATGAGTTACTATCTGGCCTTAATAACCCTACTCTTTGTATTTTGACATGTGTATCAAAGATTGGTCAGTCGTGTCAAATTATGGCAATTTTCTTGGCTTGTGCATTGCCCATGATTGCTAAAATGTGCCCATAAATCTACTATGTTTTGAAGAAAGTGGTCTTAAAAGTGACAGCGGTGTAATTTTCTCCTATTCCCTTAAGTAAGATAATGCGTTTTCTTGGTCAGAAGTGATTTTCCTTTCTTGTATTTATATTTACTGTTCTATCCAATGCATACCTAAGTGGTCGCATGTTATATTGCAAAGGTAGTAGGGCCAATGGAAAATGTTATTTCTTATCTCACTTATTTATTAGTTCTTTATCTGATGATTTGTGATGTCCAGTTAGTAACAGTGATTTATAACCTCCCCTCAGGTAACAACAACATTAAAGGATCCTCCCTTCTCATACATGGAAGCTTGTCTTATTTGTATTATTCAGAATGTACACACCTGTAAATATTTGGTCCCCCTGTTCTAAGATGTGCATTTCATTTCACATCTATTATGAAATATGCATGCACCTAGAACCAGCACAAAAAAAGCTTTCATATTCCAAAAAATCACAAGGTTTCATAAGTCCAGTAGGCAATATATTTATGTCATAATAACACCAAATGAGAGAACCTGTCAGGTGACACGTCTTAATCAGTATGTTTAAGCTGTTTCCTGCCCATTAACCTGTGTTAATCACCATTTGCATCTCCTCAATCACACGGGTACATACGGGGCTTCTTGACAGCAAAAATCTGCATGTAGACAGTCAAAAGGGTAGTTGTAACCCCTCCCTGAAACAAAGATAGTATGTTATATACATGGCAGATATTTTGAACATGTGATGTAGTGCATCTGGTCGGATGTGGTTGGATGTACTTTACTGAGGAATCAAGAGCAGCTGCTATCCTGAGAGAGACTGATCAAGTGAATCTTCTAATTAGGTTGGAGAAAGTGTCATCCTAGGCTGTACTGTCAAGAGATCTTTTCTAACCAGGCTGCCAAAGGCATCATCACAGTAAAGATATTTTCTGATTTTTTGTTTTCATTTAGTCTTAAGTTGAATAGGACGTTAAAGAAAAAAGAATAATAATATAAAGATATGAATAATCTGACACTGACAAGACAGGGTAATTCTAGATTAGAATATAGGGTTTCTGTACACAAGGGATGCTTATATTAGCTTTGGTTATTGGAATTTGTAATTGTGTCTAGGTGTTAGTCATGGCATTTGAGGTACATTTTCATTACATGTTACCTAGAGTTATGTGTGACATCAAATTTTATGGTTGCAGCAGTTTTGTTACATAGTAAATGTGAGGTGTTATGATAACATTTTATGATATGCAACTGGCACTATAAGTAAAAATTACTATTGATGCAATCTGCAAAGGGGCATATCAGGACTGGAGGAACCTCCTAGGTGAATGAAATGTTCCTTTGGTTAAATTTCCATCTCTCTGTTTCCAGGAACGGCAAACCAAGGGGGTTGATTACACTAGATAGTGAAAGAAAGTAACAAAGATTTGCCCAGATACTTTTGGTAAGTCAAGGTTTTATTTTTTAAAGGTTGAATGGTGTATATTTGTGTGTGCGTGATGATATTGTGTTGGTACTTCAAATACATAATGCATGATATCTCTGCATTGAAATAAAAAAGCAATGGGTTTAACATCTAAGTCCTTATATTTAAATTAGTGCAACAACATTTTTAAACAATGAAATAATGTAATGTAGAAATGTTATGTATTTAATATTTATAATTGGATACATGTAGGAAATCTGTTAGATATCTGCAAAGAATAAAACAACAAAATTTAAGTGAAAATCACATAAACAAGGTTGATCTGTGGTCGTTTGTTTAAACTTTGATATTTAACTCTGTAGGATGTTTTGAAACTGTCAGACACTAAAGTCAACAATCAAACCTTGTCATGGGAAACAATAATTGGGAATCAGATTTTCTTGGAACATCGTGTGAGGGTCAGGAAATCATCAGATATGAACCACATTTTTTTTCCAATTCGATGAATTGTTTGACAGATTGTTGGAGTGGATAGTTCTGTAAGATACATTCTGCCATTGTGCATACTTTCTAAGATTGCAGTTAAAGGTAGCAAGTTAGTGATGGATCTTAATTAACTACTGTGTTTTTGTGTGTTGGATTTCTGAATCAAATTTCAGAGACAATCAGCCCAACAGTTTGGATCTGTCCTCATAAACTAAGCCCAGACATAACTTCCCATCAATAAAGTTGTTTCTATTTAAGGAAGGGTTGCTTCATCTTTGTAACAGTCAATCCTCCTAGTTGTGGATCTTTATCTATACAGTTATATAGGTATGCGTAATGTTATTTTTTAAAAAACAGCTGAAAGCCTCTTTATGTTTGTGAAACACAATGTAACTGTTTTGCCATGTAGAAATGGGCCCTTGCCATGCAATTTGGTATAATAGAAACTTTTGTTTAGCTGAATATGTAGAATGTTTAAACTCATTACTATTTCACCCTGTCTTACCAAAATAAATCCATGCAAAATAAGGGTAAAATATGAGTCAAGCTTTCAAAATAATCTTATTATACTTGGAGATAAGTGACAATAGTCAGTCCTCATGACGGCCCCAGCGTGATCACACGTGGACTAATTCTACTTTATGTGAAAGATAAAAATTGTGTCTAATTACGAATGTGAGTCGTGTGCCTCGGCCGGACTTGGATGTCGTCTTTGCTGACCTGGATGATGTTAAGCATGCGAGCGGGTACTTTAAGCTAGATGGATGAGACTACTAAAACTACCATTCACTTTGTATAACTGCAAATTTTCTGTTGATTATTTTGCTTGAAACAATGGTCATGTAACTGCCAATGAAATTCAAAATAAAAGATTGATCCAACAATCTCAATTTTTTTATATTCTAAAGTTGTAAAATTGTTTTCTTTGGTAAGTGTTATATTTAAGGGCAAGTGCTTGAAGGATAGTTATTAGGTACCTGTAAAATTTAGCTAACCACATAATGTATAAAAACTTTGTCAGCATTTTAGTATAACCCATTCAAAGTAGAGATAAATTCTCAGTATCTTTATTGTAGCAATAATATCCAAATTAATGAGATGCAGGAACCTCAATGCCATATTTTTATTTGATCTTTTATACCATGATGTTAAACAAGTGACATGCAACATTCTGTTTAACAATTCTGTTTCCCTATATTTTAACTGTAGGCAGTTTCACACCTATTGGCTGGCTGGCACCACCATCGCTCAGCTCCGGCTTTATTTGTGCTGTTCATAGACATTAACTTTTACTGAGAAATTTCTTGATCTGGTACATGGTCCGTCCCTTTCTACAAACTTATGTTGTAGAACTCTATAAACAACTACTTTCTGTAGCTAAAATTAAGCTATATTACTCAACTCAGATTAATTGTTAACACTAAGAAAACTTTAAAAAAAGAATGATAGTAAAATCAAACAATTTCATCATTTTGGAAAGTGAGAGATCAAGGAGGTTAGAACAATACTCATGCATCTACCATCATTTTTACAAATAATAAAGTTCTATAACTTTTGAAATGTGCAAGGTATTGATAATTTAACTATTCTATGGACAGCTGACTCATAGTCTGAGGCATGTAAGGGTGTTGGCCTCTGAAAGGTGATGTAACTAATGTCTTGAGAAGCTTCTGCGGAGGGTCCTTGTGAAGCTCGCTCCTACAAACGATAAAAAATGCAACTTCTTCTAAGCATGCAATGTTGTTGCCAAGGTATGTGCAATAGAATTTGATCAACTGTTGGGTGTGCTATGGAAATTCATGATCACACCAATCATATGCTGTATTCCTGTAATTATTACCCTTTGGAGGAAAGTAAGTTGGATGAAAAGCAGTCATTAGTTTTCATCAATTATTAATTTTCAGTTCAATTCAGAAACAAAACTGGCTAATTTTAGGATACAAGTGTCTTGATTGTTTCTTGGCTGGACTGGTTTATGAAGACCCTTTTTTCATTGGGGGAGGGAGAGAATAAGGTTGATGATATACATTGGTGTCAAGGATATTCATCCTATTAGATATTCATCCTGATGTCCAAGTATTGACCTTGATAGCACTTGCCTGTGAGATGAAAGACAATTTTTTGGGTGGTAAATTCACTTTAAAGCAGCCATCAGCAATTTTGTCCATTTTATCTGGTCTTGTGCCCCTTCCATCTCTCTAGATTTGACTTCTGTCTCACCTCAACTGTCTTGATCTGACTTCACAGGGACCAAATATTTGTTGTCAGACATACCGATTTTTTTCTTTAAAATTGTTTGACTGCATGATTACTGTTTTTATTTATTTATTTATTTATTAATTTATTTATTTATACTTCCAATGGATTTTGCAGTCATGTGCTTTTGAAAATTGAGAAAAGTTACTTTTAAAACAATAAATATATCAAATGTTTTAAAGTGCTAAAGAAAACTGATTGGCAAGGCACATTTTTATGATCTCCCAACAGCATGATATTCTAACACCGTTTGGTGATAACCTTTTACTTTGAATATAAAAATAACATTAAGATTACCTTTCATAGAATGAACCCACTCTGGTCTTGAGATGTCCCCTACGTTAGGCTTACCCCTCCATTGAGGAAGGGCCAGCTCAAATATGATTAATTCATCATCAGTACAGTAACTGTGGTTAATGGTCGCATTGTATTGGGGTTTGGCTAATATGTTTTAATCCAAGAAACTATCCTGTATTCCGCCTATGTCTGCTGTCTGAGTGAATGCACTCACCTTGATGTTCTCATTTTGTCTTGGTTTTATATAAGCTTAAGGTATGTACATATGATTGTTATGCTACAGTTCTTTAATTTCTGCTGCTGGTGAGGCAAAAAATATAATATTAATAGAAAAATAATAATAATAGAGAATAATAGAGGACTGTTGGTAGAAAAAAAGCAATTTGTATTCAGCGGTTAGAAAAATAATAATAATAACAGAGAATAATAGAGGACTTTTGGTAGAAAAAAAGCAATTTGTATTCAACAGTTGTTATTGACATTTAGTTTTAAAAATTAATTGATGTGAATGTAAGCAGAAATCGAGCAGAAAAGATCAAACCAGTGTCAAGCTGGATTAAACCAACTAACCTACTGACTGAGTAATTAATGTTAATTCAGTTTTAGTTGAAATCAGTATGGTAAATTCCAGCCAGAATAAGGTTGATGATATACATTGGTGTCAAGGAGGGTTTAGGAACATAATCCATTAGTCAGTTTTATCATGGTATTTTTTTTCACAAAGCCTATCATTAGATTATGCAATAAAAATGCCTGCTCTCTTGATGAGAGAGGGAAGATAGCATTTTGCTCCTCTGAAGTGCTTCTGGGCATAGCAAGCCATCATTAGTGTTGTTAGGGAGAAGTTGTAGCCTGCTACTTAAAATAATGATTCAAGTTTGATACTTATGACTTTGATTTTAGTCGTCAGTATGTATAGCGAGCTCTGTGGCATGTCATTGCTATGCTGCAGTGTTGAGTTTGACGGAAATCCACCTGGCATTTTTACACCCAGTTTAACGGCAGTGCCGTAAGTAAAATATATGATATGGTTTATAACTATCATTTGTAAGCTTTTGAATTTGAGAAAAAAAAAAGACATGAAATGTTGGATTTAGAAAACAATTTGAGTGGGGTGGCTATGATTGGTTACACATACGTGTATCATGCAGAAAATGAGAAACAATGACAATTACACCAGGTGGTATTTGATTTATTCATATCAAACACCCATTTTATAGAATGCATGTACAGACCCAATTTTATTTAACTTGAAACAAGTCTCCTTTATTCTGTTGTTTGCCTGAGTGAATTAAGTCCATTTGTTTCTTTGCTGTATGTAAGACACTCCTTTCTTCTGTAAGAGAGATTATTGGATTTTAATATTTTCTTGTAATGGTTAATTTCAACCACAAGTTGAGCAACAAGTAGTTTAAAGTTTAGCTGCCTGTCATAAGCTGTATTCTCAACAGGTAAAGAATTGTGGCAATTCAGTTATCGTTTTACAGTTGAGTGATTTATCCTACACTTTGAAAACCATTTTCATCAACTTCTTGAGTAAAGAGTGCTCATTGTTTTTGTGCCAGAGAGTAAAAAAAAGTCAAATGACAATGTTTAAACATTTCAAATTCTATATGCAGCTATTTTTAAGTCTTGGTAACCTGAACTCTACCCCCAGAAAAACTTCTGAAATTTCAGAGACAGAATACCCTCCATTCTGGTGATGCAAATATCTGGCTCTGCCACCACTTGTTGCATGATTGTAAGCAATTATGTCACCACAGGCAATGAATTAGGATAGAATCTCGGGGAAAAAAATCTTTCAAAATGTTTAACATTCTTTCTTGCAACAGGGTGTTTGCTAGAATAGGCAGTGACTGCGCAGAAGATCTCATTGTTTCACCTGTTTGAAAGCAACTGAGACAGAGAGGTGAAACTTTGTGTCATCATTTGATTGATTGTGTCATAAAACAAGAGAAATTGTGAGGATTTTCTCATGA